CTTACAACACTGGCATCTACGGTTGTCGGGTTTTACTGAAAACTCCGTCGTTCATTAGATTTGAACCCACGATCATTGAGTTGTTGGTCGGGGTCGTTTGCCTACTCGCGCACTCAGTCGAAATTTGTGACATATATATTTTAGGCAAAGTTGCATTTTATAAATAAGAGGAATGCATTTATTTTCACATCTAATATTTATATCGTACAGGAAAACGATACGATATGCAAATGTACGCAATCGATACATTAAGGGAATACTTTTCCGGATTATGTGTTAAACATATATTAATCTGATGATGGGTATTGAAAAATTCGCCTCAAGCCGTATATAATTTATTTAGCTTTTTCGTCACATTTTGAAAATTCACATTCTCGCACCTATATGCATGCATTTGAAAGTGTAGATGGTCGGGTGCATTTTGAGTGCAGTCATCTGTGTTCATTAGATACGGTAGGTGTTTGCACAATCTTTTCCAATGTAAATTTTAAACAAGGTCGTTTTGAATATTTCACACACTTTCAGTTTTTCACTTAACTCTGATGATTTTATTCTAGCAAAAAAAATAATAAATTTTTTAAAATTTTTTTGAGAAGGATCACTAACATCTGTTCAGCATTCATTTTAATTTTTTTTTCTTCTCTCCAAAATATAATTTTTAAATATATTTGTATTTCCGTAGCAGTATTGTGGAGTCAGGTGGAGATAATATTTCAAGTGAAGAATATTTCTAAGGTAGAATTTCGCCGACGCTCAAAAATGTTATTCATATTTCTAAAAAACAAAATGCTGGCGAGGGCGGGTCGCAAAAAACCGACTGGAACGTCCTGCCACAGGTTGCAATTCTTCACTTCGCTGAAAGCTATTGTTAAGAGAAATGAATCTACCACGTCATAACGTCCACCATAATTAATTTAGAATTAACACACTTATCTTGTCGCATTCTATTCATCAAGTCCCTTGATTTCATACACATATCGATGGTACTGTTGAGAAAAACAAAATACTGTAAGGTATGCTATCCACTACGTTTATTTTACAGTTAGCGCAATTTTAGGCGTATTATAGGTCTTCATTTGAGGAATGTGGAAATTAGTTTTAAACATTCTGCCTCGTTTGCGTTACGCTTGACAAGCATGAAAGCCCAGAAAAGTGAAAGAAAGGAAATGTAACCATTTGTAACTCTGTAAAAGTGGAAAGTTTGAATTTTTTATCCTCTATGATTTGTGAGTAACGAGCAAAAGACTACACATTTTCGTTTGGTAAAACGGAATCGCGCTCAGTTGACGCTCCACTGCGGACTTGTGTTCCGATCACTTTAGCCTATTTTCAATACTAACCTGCGTGCAACAACTTCCAATTGATCTTGCACACTACTATTAAATTACATTAGATTAATCTACAAAATTTGTAGCGTTTGTAAAAAAATGGAAAAAATCGGTCAAGTCTACTCTATATTGTAATGACCCATAATTTTATTTTTTATATCTTTATAACGCACGGAAGCAAACATTAAAAACCTCATATAAGTTCTTAGCTAATTTCAAACTCGGAATGCACCGAAGCTTGTCCGCCTGGCTTTCTGTCCGTTTACGCAACTCCGTACTATCGGTGGTAAACATTTTCTCGTTCACAAAAATGAAGATTTCGCTTACACACCTGCAAAAAAATTTGAAAATAACCCAGAAATTTCAAAAAAACATGCCTGGTTCTGTACCGGTTGTAAGTGTGGCTCTATGCTGGTTGTGTAAATGCTTTTTTTCTTTTTTCTTCCTTCTTATTTGTTTTATTGTACTTATACTAAGTTTTATTATTAATTTAATATAAGTTTTGCTTTAAGTGCCAATTGAACTCAACTGTTATTTGTTTAGTTGAGTTTCATGTATAAGTAGAATTAAAATAAATAAATAAAACGCACACACGCCTATGTAACGAAAACAGTCAATAACTTTGCTTTCTCTTACTCTACAAAAGGTATAAAGATTATTCAAAAAAAATACGGAAACGATGATGGGTATAAAAAGTTCGGTCACAACCGAATATAAAGTCCTCAAAAATCAACTATAAGATTCACAAATTTAATTCATGCTAAACTATGTATATGCTGTGAATGTTTGCTATTATCATTACTTTTCCTAAAATTCTCTCTTATTAATAATAAATATGATGAAAAATAATGGTATGAAAATTTTCCGGTTTGTTTGTAGTTGCGAAACGAGTGTTGCTTCTCCAAGAACAGAAACAATGAAAATTATTACTTTTAGGCATACTAGAAGTGAAATATAAAAACGAATTCATTCAAAAGTAGAGAAAAACTTACAAGATAATGACGTTTCGTTTATATCATGATAGCAGAATGAACAAGTGAGCAAAGCCATATAAGTTAAAGCTAATAGTTGGCTTTCTGATAACGAATTGTGAAAAGAGTATATTTTGGTTTCACATTCAGGCAGGACACGGCCATTAATAGTCCATTCCGATTTGAAGGCTGTCAGCAATCTACAACAATATGGAGCGTTCGGCCCATAAAACTTGGTCAATGTAGATTAAATTATGTTTAGTTGAAACCTTTTACATTTGAACAATGTTTAAAATCTTAACGCGACTCTCTGTACTAAGCTACACGGGAAACTACTTAAATCATGTATCGCAGTAAATTGATACGGTGTTGAATTAAGGACTACCAGGCTTTTTTTGCTTATTCCCTTGCACTCCGATGATATTGGTCTTAAGTTTGGGAGTGTGATGCAAAAGTACTAGCGGTGTTCTCTTACTTTCGAGTCCTTTCACTTTTATAATAATATATTTTTCTCGCGTACTAAATAATTTGGTAATAGATAGTAATTTACCAGCCTTCTATATATATAAGCTCTCGATATAGACAAACTCTTATCATGTACCTAATTTAGCTGAAATTTAAAAATTGTAGCTCAATTGAAATGAAATAAATTAAGTATAAAGTACGTTACGATGATCACGTCCGAAGATCCCACTACATCAGCCACGATTGAAAGAGCTGTTATCAATGAGAGTTGATAAGTCACGCTTATTGGAAATCTGCCGTGTGTGTCCACATAACAAAGAACTTCAGTGAAAGAATTTTTAAGCTAGATAAGGTATGTGAAATATCATTCTACAGTTAGCTATTGTTAAATCAATCGACTTTCCTTAAAGAGCTTTTCATTTCAATTAAGATCCCAGAAAAAAGACCTTTTAGGGCACCGTTCCTAGTCTCTTAAACGAAAGCAGTCTTTTATACCTTACACTACAGTGATAGTAAGCAGTTTAAAAGGGAAGAAAACTAGATCGATCAGATATGAAATGAACGACTAAAAAGCAAACTTTGGTAGGAGGAGTGACGAAACCGGTACCAAACTTAAAAGCACATCTCTCGCAAAGTTTTCACAGGACTCAGATAGAAATCGTTTCTTAATTTTAGTGATAGATTACAGATTCATTTCTTTCTTAACAAGTTTTTTTCTCTTCTACCATATAAGTGCTCGGCTTTACTGAAGAGTCGCTTTTATTTGTAATACTGCGGTAAGTTGCCACTACACAGTTCGGAATCTTACCATCTCTGACTATATAGTCGTTTTTGAGAAAAGCGAGACTTTAAATAACAGCGGTGTGTATTCAATGTTTTATGATGAACATAGGTAAGTATTCATATTAGGCAATAAAGCAATAAGGCCTTACTTGACTGTAACGATTTAATCTATAAGAAAGTTTAAAAAAAGGTTTTCTTTTTCTTTTCAAAATTTCCTAATTTATGATATTTAACAATATGTTTAAAAGACATATTTAAATAGGATTTCATGAGTATTCACATCTATACAATCACAGCTGCTAATTATAATATACTGAAACTGAAAGCTGAACCATTCTTTTCTCGTTCATTTAAATATGTGTTTGTATGACATTCTTAATAATGGACAGTAAAACCGCTTAACAATTGACTACGCAACTTATTTAGAGTGCGAAACAGACTCCCATGAATGTTATCTGCTTGCATGCAGGCCCATATCCACAGCTGAGATGGTTAGAAGGAGAAACGAACAGAAAACACATTGAGCTGACATTGACAGTTTGTATTGAATACTGAATAATAACAACAAAATCCATGTCGAAATATATATATACACATATTCATGTGTGGTTGTGTAAACTGATGCATGTAATAAGTCTAACTATCATTTAAATACTGCTGGCGGACGACAGCCAAACGTTTTGGTTTGGTTTGGTATGCTGATCAATATAAAATTTTAGAGTGTTGGGCGTAATGGAAAAGAATACATTATCTCCCAGAAATACATATGTAGAAACTCAGCTGCAAATACATATGTCGATACTATTCGGTAATTGCCTGGAGCTAAATTTTCGTTTCTAACTAGGTTGCAACTCATCTTTAACATGATTTCTCACACCGTTTAGAAATTTGAACCTGGCCAGTAATAGTGAATTTTTGAACATTAGAACTGTAATCGTAGGGGATAATACCATATTACCTACGACGAACTTTACCATAGCATAAGTACTTTTACTGCAGCGCAAGTATTTATACCATATTATCAGAAGTTATTCTGTAGTATAAGTATTTATATTGCACCGTAAGTGCTTATGCCGGAGTGCCAGTGAGTATTTACAGCGTAGTCTAATTATTCATATCGTAGTGTGACCACTTCTACCGTTGTGTAGGTATTTTTATAGTGCTTACACCGCAGTACAGGACAAACATTTGTACTGCAGGACAAATACCAATGCTCTCCGCACTGTAAGTACTAGTACTTCAGCATAAGAAATCTAGTATAAGATAGTTACAATTTCAGTACTAATGCTATAGCGTAGCGCTATTGGCTGTTTGGGAAGAACTACTCAGTTAGTTATTACGTATTCGTCTCCATAGTGATAGGGGATGGGAGGTAGCAGCAACAACAGCAGCAGTAACGTAAGCATTACAATCTCTTGTCAAGTGGAAAAACCTTTGATAACAAGTGACATTGATTTAAACTGCCACATACACTCCTACGAACAAGAGTATGTGTTTTTAAATTTATATTTTTATCAATTTTGTTTGCTAAGTTTTTAATCAGAAAAAAATTTAATGTAATTGAAAGAACTCATCCCATTGATCTTTAATAAAAATTTCACATCTAACGACAAGCATTAAAGTGGTAAGTTGTATTAATCTGTTTGCCGTAATTCACTGTTATCTTCTACTTATACCGTGTCTAGTCCGTCAACACTGTAATCTCGGTGCTAAGGCTGCACATTATTCCTCAACATCCTTAGCAAGTAAATTCATTGTCATTATCCATTGGTGGAAAGCGTTGAGCGAAGTAGGTATCGAAGCATGGAAAATATCCGTTTTAATTGACAGTTGTTATGCGGCTTTAGATTTAGATACGCCCGGTCAGCTACATATAGTCAGAACGAGCCATCCAACTAAGCAACCTACACGAACGGCATCACGAAAGAAAATATTCGAACACATGCCTTTCAGAACAAAGAGCAATAAAAAAAGAGCAACAAAAAAAGGAAAAAAAAAAACATAAAACGAGGGTAAAATTGAAGCTGAAAATGGTTTTATTATAAACGCAGCGATAAATCTTTTATTCAGTGAAAAGCTTTACGAAATGCTTGTATATTAAATCCTGATTATGCGGTAAATTTATTTTCCTTTTGGCCCCAAATAAAATAAAACAATGAAAACAATAAATAAAATTAAATTGAAAGATGAATCCGCAAAACGAAAAAAAACACTTAGATAGTCCTAACAGGAATTCTTAAATTCATAGCCACTACTCAGGACTGCGTGGTATGGTATTCCAATCAAATTGCTGCAGTGTGAAACATTACGTGATAAACAAACTTCAACAGATGAAAGGACAAGATCAAATTATGATTTTTTATTTGTTTTGTATTGAAATTAAGAAGACTATGCGAGAACTGTGCACAGATATGTAATTGTGGTTAAATATACCATCACTAATTTGGAGAATGTAATCAGCATAAAAAAATAATCTAGTACTTGGTACTACTAACAAGAAGGAAATACACAGCAGACAAATCTCCAAAAATTTTATTTGGAAAGCTCGTAATTATACATACATTTACATAGTTTTATGAACACACAGTTTCTAGGGAACTATCTACGAACATTGGAATATGTCTTACTAACCAATTTCGACGAGGCAATAGTACCATTTTTTAACATAACTAAGAAGGGCACACCAAGGATAAATGTACGTTTCTGAACTGGTGCTAGCAAGGGTGCCAAAAGGGATCTATTTTCATAAGGAGGCAAAGAGATAAGCAGGTTTCAAATCAAACTCCGAAAGGTAAAGAGTACGAATCACTTTTGAGAAGATGCTATTGAATCTACACCTATAGAAAGGAGAGCATTGCGCCCGTTAGCTATTGCTGGTCTGTTTTGCAACAATACATCGTTGAATTTGTTCAATTGAGTAACTCGTCATACACTTTGCTGTTCCCACCATATGCGCAGCAAAACTTTTTGGTCAGGAATATTCGGCTTCGGTGTCAATATGGGTAGCTCTTCTGGACTAATCCACGATTTTTTGCGCTGGGTATAGTCGTAGTGGACGCTTTTTTCATCGCCAGTTACAATGCACCACAGAAAACTCCTCTTTCTTGCCTGGCAAGCAATGAAACCGCGATGTTAAAAGAACTGAAAAGGCATTTTCAGATAATTCGTATAGTAGCCATTTCTCCTCCTTCTGGATCTTCCCCATCGTATGTAAACGTTTAGAAGTAGTTGATTTATTAACTGCTAAGTCTTTCGAAAGTTCTTTGAGAGTTTGAACTGGGATTTCGTGTAATAAGTCTTGAAATTCATTGCCTTCCAACACTTTTGGTCTTCCACGCTGTTCTTTGTCATTGTGGTCAAAATCACCACTTTTAAAGCGTTCCAACCAAAATCGACAATTAAGACATGACGGAGCAGCATAATTATAAGTTTGTAAAAGTTTTTGATGAGCTTCGGCTGCAGATTTCTTCAAAGTAAACAACAACAGTAATGAACGCCGAAAATGCAGTCTTGAGCATTTCATGATTAGCCTCTCTGTATGCACAGAATAACTCAACAATATTAAATGGAAAACTGTTATTTTATATAGACAAAGGTCACAATCATAGAATTTAACCGTTTCTTCTACATGAGAGAAATGAAATTTATTAACAAAAACGGGCGTGTTCGCGGTGACAACTTTGTTATCTTAGACATGCATTGGAAGACGTAGCAAGCGCAGTGTAGGCTCATACCCGTTTGTCTTACTATTCGAATACTCAGAAGTATTTCCCACAAAAAGCGTCCTCTATAGTGTTTTTCTTCAAAAAGAAGCAGGAGTCCGAATATTATGTATGTAACTAACAGCTGTAGTGTATGGATTCCAAAGGGGATACTTGGATACTTTCTGAAATAGATTAAAAGTATTAAAGTCGTTGGCAAGTGTCTTCAATAAAATGGCGCTAAGCTTTAGACCAGCGACATATGCATCGGTTTGTTGAGAACTAAATTCAATAAATGAATCTCTCCTTACCTGTAAAATTTAATTTTGAAATTTTTATACATGCATATAATTGGTAAGCGATGTTTAATTAATAACATTCACATGTTATATAAAAACACATATAAAGCATTTATTTTATATAATTTTTTTCTACTTTTATTTGCAAACAACAGACAAATTACTTTACAAGCCAAGCAAACATAGCATAATAAAGTTTCTCATAAACAGTTTTAATTAGTCTTATTTTCTATATGTTCCTGAGTTGACGTTTAATTGGTATGCGTAACGTTTTTCTGTGTTTTGTATGCATTTCTTTAACTTGACAGAATTTAGAATTTTTATATAATGCTTTGAAAAACTTATGCGTTTGACTTGTAATAGAAATTCAATCCAATAGAAGGAACGTGATAAAATTTCGTTTCCAGTTTTTCGCATAATATTAAATGCTCTTAAGTGAAAATTTAACATTAAAAAAAGTTAAATAAAAGTTTTAATTGTATTTTTTCATTTAACCTCAGATATTTCTAGTAATTTTTTGAATGCCTTGCTACATAACCGTTCCTACAGAAACTGAAGAAGCCCTAATTTTCAATGCTTCTTAATGGAAATTCGTCCATAATAATAATTTGACATAAAAATTAACTTTACCAAATTTGGATCACGTGAGACTACTTTTGGGATCGTTACCCAGAAAAATAGGGCCTTATATGCCAAAAAGGAGTAGTTTTTAACGTTTTATAATGAAAATGGGCCCGTAGTAAATTCACCATAAGAAATTTGGATCACATTGGTCTACTTTTTAGACCGCAACGCACACATAGAGGTCGTCATGGAAGCAAGCCCTAGTTTAATTTGACGCCAGCAACTGGAAATTAACAATATCTTTGAGAAATAAATGAAGCTTGTTAAATCTAGACCACCTTCGCGTTTAAGTATCCTTCAATAGAAGGATTTCAATGAAAATAATGAATTTTTTATACAAAAATAGCATAAGTTTTGATGTATTGTCACCCAAATGAATAAATGACTGTACTGGGCAAAGTAGCGTAAGGTATCTAACGCTCGGCCTTAGCTCAGACGAATTTTTACTTATTTTTCAAAAAATTTGGAATGCTTTAATAAAAAATTAAACATTAAGAAAGTGAAATAAAAATTTCAATTGTATTTTTTGTTTATTTATTTTTAGACATACTTGCCAATATCTTGCTTGAGTAATTCAATTTTTTATTTTAAAACCGAAAATCAAACTGAATCTACCTTTGTAAAAACTCTCTGAAAGTAATGCCTCACCTAACCACCTTTCACGTTCACTAGAAAATACAAGTGGACGATGATCCTTAGAGTCTCTTTTCTCTGCTGTCTTCACCTTGGTTATATTCAGTTCATGAAATAATTTTCAAATTTAAAGATTTTTCCTTATGTGGTTTAATATTGTTGTTCTTGGAATCCAATAATTGAATGAACGTTTGAAATGAGCAATGAGGCTTGCCGCATTTGTTCTTGATGTCATAAATAAGTTTCTCTAACAATTTTTATTATTTTGTTGAAGATCAACTTTTTAAATCGTGATTTGTGCACGTAAACCACTTTGAAATTTCTACAATTTAGGGGTATCCCGCTCAAGTTTTTGGGAGCTTCGCAAAGTGTGAATACTGTGTCCAATAAAATAGCGAGAGAAGAGTTGCCGAATCGTGAGGGGTGATATAAACATACAATTACTTACAAATAATATTGAAAAAGCAAAAAATTATGCTACAAGTCATGGAAAACGTAAACATCGTTCGTAAGGTCGAATATACTTCTCATCCCCGTTTAAGGCGATTAGCTGCATATAGTGGGTGACAGGTATTTCAAATACCCACAAAGCATTGCCAAAGGTTACTGTCAACAACGAAGCAATTGAGACAATTATTGAAGAAATATTCAAAAGCTGCCATAGGTGAAATTTTCAGTGTAAAGAAGCTTGGCCTTATTTATGTATTTTTTGTCTGTATATTTCGTGAAGAAATGTACAAAGTACGGATTGAAAAGCTGCTGCATAAGATAGATCATATACTCGCCTGCTCGGCCTTATACTGCAAAGTTTGTAGGTACAGCGTTTGGGACACTCAACTGGAATGTGTTTCCAATCGCGTTGCTTTTCCCCTGCTTATGCCTTATGAAAGCATTTAAAATATTTATATTCTATTAGAAAAATGGGAAGGTTATTTGGTCGGCAGCTTACATTATTTCGAACACATTTCGTTTAAAGTGTTTTCTTGAGATAAGAGCAAACATATATATAGTGTTTTATAAGCAAGCAATTTGATCATAGTTAGCGGGTAAGCTTCTTTTTTTTTTAAATAATATTTGTGGGAAGAAAATGTTAACAGACCTTTTCTGATTTTCAATATTTTAAACAGCATTTGCGTTGCATTTTAATTAGCTTTAATGTAAATAATATATATCCATTAAAAGTTGTGACTAGTTCACTAGCTAAAGGAGACATGAAAAATGACTTGAGCTGTGTTATGAAAGGCCCTAATTTCTTTTTCATCAGTTTAAGGACTTGCCGATAATCCTATCCTTTAAGCGGCTGTTATAAAATACGCGGGACAAGGACGGGAAGACGTACGAAAATCTTTATTGTATTTTATTATATATACGTTAGCAAGTATTTAATAAAAAGCTAAGGTGCCATTCCTAAGCTGAGTCCATAGTTTGATCACAACTTTAGTTTTTGAACAGCTCCTGCTGAGGTTCGATAGTGGTGATAAGCTAGCACTACATCTTATTTGAACTTCCCCTGTGTAGCTAGAAGGCCTAGCCGAACCCCACCTTCGGGAGCTGTAAATTTTTCTTATCTTTCTTGATCCT